AATTATCACTAGGTTTACTGCACGTTTAGCGTAGATATGCGTTTTTCGAATTTGGGGGATTTTTGTCAATGATTGTATCTCAGATACATCCTTAAATAAAAACTGTTGGAAAAATCGAAGAGCCTTCATCGATCTGAGAAATACGCTCGAATCTCCACGTATCTCGAAACTGCGCGTTTCAGGTGCTGCACCACGGCACGACTTTGGTGCATTGGGACTGCGAGGGTGGCACCTCGAGGACGGCGTTGGTGTTCGCGCGCGTCGATCGCGCTTGCGGCACCTTCGTGTGGGAAAAGCCACCCTGGAGTCCGCTGAAAACGGCACAAGTTGGCGGTGCCGCTCTTACAGAGTTTTCGCTGAGCGCGAACCCGGAGGACGCGATACCAGCGGGCCTAGTCGGCAGGTACACGCAGCAGCAGGCTGACTGCGCTTCTGTCACTCTCGAAGAGGGATACCTCGACCTGGGATCGGTGAAGGAGATAATGATCGGCTGTTGCGACCGCGATCGAGAGGCCGATCTCAGGAGCATCTGCAAGAGATACGGCCTACCTGGCTCCGACTGCTGCATCGGCCTCATGTATGGCTCCAATCTTCCGGACAATCGACTGATCTTCCTACTTTGCCCCCCCGGCCTTAGCAAGTACGTATCAATTGTTCTTACAATCTACTTTCCAGTGCGTCTCACCGGGAAAATGCGGAAGAAAAAAAATATCTTATGCCACTTTGCAAATTGCAACTTTTCATTTAGATTGGTCAAGTGATCGTGGGACAACGTGGCATTTTCATTTCTTTGTGCGTTTTTAAATTTTACTAGTACAAAGTGTGGTAAAATTTCACGAAACTCATGAAATTCCTCGAAATGCCACGATTAGGTGATTTTCAGGATTAACTTTAAGAGAAAATTCTCTCCGTGTACGTTTCTTAATTTCATGGTTTTCGGGGGGGAAAAATCTCTCAATTAGAAATTAAAGAGGCCGTTTAGGACCGGGCATAGGTGTAAGTAGCCAGTTAAATTAAATTATTAATATTTAATTTAACTGGCTACTTACACCTATGCCCGGTCCTAAACGGCATCTTTAATTTCTAATTGATTTTATATCTTAAAGGACCCAAGTTAAAAAATTGTAGTAAAATCTCTCAAGTGAATGCATTCGAGATTATCTCGCGGGTATTTTTCTCCATTTACCTATTTCGTGCGTGCTATTAAATTTGGCCGTAAAAAGTCACCGCGTGTTAAATTAATTACTATGTCATTAATATCCCCCTCTCCAGAAAATCGGGTTCATTAATAGTGTATTAATGGCTACATTCATAATTTGTATATTACCGAGCAATAGTATATTAATAACAACAAACACATTTCCTGCGTATTTTGCACGGCTCTACCAAATTCCCTCTAATAATTTATGATTTATTGTTAAATTACGTATTGTTGGGCCACATAAATTATGTAATACGCATGTTGCTTCGCTTTCAGAATATGGTACATGGGATTGTGCTGGATATTGCGAGGCCTCAAAAGACAACAACAGCTAACAGACCGCAGATCACGCTGGTTGAAAGAGAAATATCTCCAGTTGTACTTTTCTTACTTGGAACAGCCGATGGAGGGCCTGGAGCAGCCGACGACAGCCGATGCTATTCGCATTTTCGGCGGTCGCGACTGGTCCATGACAGAGAGTGTCGGAACTCTGTCTCCGACGAGCAGTAGCACTCTACGCAGGCGAAACGTTAAAGGCAAAAAGACAAAGTCGATTGGCAACATTCACGCTTTAACAAAGGTTCGCATAAATTTACCACGCATCTTCTACAATCGACGTAGATCAGATCGTAGATCGTCGCAAAAGCCGTGGTTTATTCCGCGATTAACCGCGTTCACCGAACTGAACACTCTTGGTTTAACGCAGGACCTGAGCATAAAACAGTACGACACCTCGACCTCGGACGGAGGTCTGTGCGCCACACCTCTTCGTCACATCGCGGGAAGCAGAGAGTCTTTAACGAGGATCCTACCAGCGTCACCGAGAGCAAGCCGAGACCGAATCCCGCCACGCAGCCCGCCCGGTGCTGGCGATCGTATCACCTCCACCTTGCCTTATTCCACTTTTCAAAGGTACATCATTCTATCGCACACTTTATCCCTTATAATGTCAAGTTCTCGTTATCTTTATCGATTTCGAAAGGTTCATCCAGGCAGAAAACTATGTAGAACCGAACAGAAAATCTTACAGCTTCGTGCTGAATATCATTTGAAATCTGAATTATGGATCCAAGGTTTTCTCATCTAACATGATGAAAATAAACTATCTATTTTGAGCAATCTAAGACCAGGCATTCATTTCTTTTACGCGGAAAGTCTCTGAGAGGATACCTTTTATATTTATTATGTACAAACAATATTTTAGAACTTTTCATTTACGTGAAATAATAATATCAAAGACATACGACGCGATGCGAAAAGAATCCGTTTTCGACGCTACATTTAAGACAATCTATAAAAAATCAAGGTGCTTCTAATTTTACAATTTTTACTTTCTTGTATTTTTAAACGCTTCTTCTCCTTTCTTCTACTTCGTGCATCAGGCTTGATGCCTGTTTTATCCAGTTGGTTTAAAAATTACGGCAAGGTTAGCAGCCTACCGAAGATGAAGTAAAACCAAATGTTCAAAGTACCAGTTCGCTCTGGTACAGAACAGTAATTTTTAAGCACGATAAACAATATCTGCTCGGACTTTTTGACCTTTAAACGATCGCAAATAATCACCTCCGTGAATATTAAGGATCGGGATATTTTAGGGACATTATTTTAAGATCTAGACACACGTCCCTCTGAAATAAGAGTAACGGAGGAAATTGCGAAAATTCTATAAAATTTTACATTAAAAATAATGATCTTGAGCACCTCGCAATAACGCGTGCGTAGTTTGTTGTGTGTCGCCAGAGAGAAAGACAAGAACGGATCCGGTGGCATACCCGTAGGCTTGGAGGCCCCTTGGCACATGAAGGCGCGCACTACATCGATCATGTACGAGACGCAGCTGAACTTTGTGGAATTCGTCGCGCTCTTTCGATCGTTCAGCTTGCGAGCCAGGAAAGATCTGCGCGATCTGTTCGGCCAGTTAGCGATAACGTGCCGCAGCCAGAGTGACGGATCGTTGAGGGACTTTAATATTCGTCCGGTGGTGCTCAGGCAGACCAGTGACGCCACCCCGCAAAGAATCGGTAAGTCGACCGCACCGGAGCTAATTTAATTATTAAAACTTGTGCGTAAATTTAAATGTGCAGATTCATCTTTATATTTAGTCGCGACGATGCGATAATAGAGGAAAGTCCTCCGTTATGAAATAGGCTTCTAATATGAGATAGCAGGTTTTCAACGTCCAAAGTCAATGACAAATCTTTTTTCGCAACGATCTAACAATGAATTTTCCTAGACAGATTTCACTCCAAGGGCAATAAATTCGTGGTGGAACCAAGTGTTTGTCAAATTTAGCGGAAACTCCGCTATCTCATACTAGTAGCCTATCTCATAGCACTTTCATCTCAATCTTAAATACAGAAACGCGAGTCAATCCACTAAATTTTGAGTAAATTAGATTTGTAGCGCTACAAGCTTTATTACAACTGACCTAGCAGCAACATATACGTTCGTTCATATTCATGAAAAACAAAGGTCGCTGTAATTACGCGAGTTTTAATTTATAATTCGATCGCGATTGCCTCTTCAAATATTTGAAATGAGAAATCAATTTCAATGCGCCAGGCTTGTTGACGAGAAACAACTCTATCGACTGTCACGAATACAAGACGGGCAGCAATCTGCAAAAGAAGCAGATCTTCGATGCCGTCGCGGCTGCAAGCATAGTCAATAACTGCTCGGGCGTGGACACGTCCAAGTCCCAAGTGATCACCCTGGCGACATTCACGAAATTTCTCGAGTCCCGGCAGCAAGAAAAGTTGAACGACGATGAAATCAAGGCGCTGATCAAGGTAAATATTTACGGGGCCAGAGATCCTCGCGCGCGCGCGCAAGAGAGAATGTTAGCCCAACGTCTTCATTTCTCTCGGACGAACTTTTTTTGACGGATTTACAGGAAATTAATATCCTCTAATATTTTGCACGCCAGACCGGCGTGCACGTTGGTTAACGTGTTTGCGTTCAATCACGCGAATAAACCGCTTTTGTTGAAGCGACGATAAACGACCCCGCCTTTCATCCCGCTGTACCGAAATCACGATTTCAATTTGTCTTATCTGGAAATGGAAGAGCCAACTTCTCCACGCGCACAGCGCGACCGCCCCGTGAGCGCATTGCTGCACGCGCGCTCATTCGAACGTATAATAGAATGCATACGTAACACAATCAAGCGGGCCCGTTCGCTCTCATTTCAGAGGCACGAGCCGGACCCGGCACTTCGCACACAGTGGTGTTTGTCTTTCGAGGGTTTTGCGCGGTACATGATGGACAAGGACAATTACGCCTTCCCGACCGAGTACGCGACACCGTCCGAGACCGAGATGCAACAGCCCCTCTCGCAGTATTACATCGCCAGTTCCCACAACACGTATTTAACCGGGCATCAACTCAAAGGGGAGTCCTCCGTGCAACTGTACTCGCAGGTGAGCCGCGACTTTCAAAAATAGATCCGCGATAATGAGCGTAGCTCCATAGAGCTGGGACATGAAATATTTCCACGACATTATCACAGTTACCTTCCACTGGATTCCGAACCGCGTTATTATTTAATAATCCCGCGCGTTATTTCAGCGAGATGTAAAATAAATGAATAAGAAATCCCCCTCCGTGTATATCCGAGGGCTATGAAAGATTTATCGGTTTAAAAAGAGTCCGGGCTCTTTCACTCTGCGTGTGGCGAACTTTTAAAAATAGCGATTAGCGCGAATGAAACTTGTCGACTGATAACAACCAAAATCTGCGCAGGTGCTTTTAACCGGCTGTCGCTGCGTGGAGCTCGATTGTTGGGACGGTGACGATGGGACCCCGCTGATTTATCACGGTCACACTTTCACTACGAAAATACCATTTCGCTCGGTCGTGGAGGCGATCGATCGTAGCGCCTTTGTCATTTCCCCCTATCCCGTGATTCTTTCCATCGAGAATCACTGTTCGCCGAATCAGCAAGCTCGCATGGCTCAAATATTTCAGGTACCCGATTAATTATCTAACAGATTGTCCTTCCCGTCGACCGTCGTCGCGCCTCAAATCGAGTTACGAGCGGAGATACACGTTTCGTTTCAGGCTGTTTTTGGCGAGAAATTGGTAACGAAATTCCTCTACGAGTCCGACTTCAGCGACGATCCCCAACTGCCTTCGCCCTCGCAGCTTCGCTACCGGATCTTGATAAAAAATAAGAAGCTAGTGGTCGACCCTGCCGGCCCTCTGTCGCACACGCCCCTTAGTCATCGTGGGAAGATGCTCATGTCAGATCGCGCATCCTCCATGAAGCAAATGCGGACCGACGTAAGCAGCACGTCCGTCGTCGAATACTTTAGCGAGGACGAGGACGACGAAGAGGACGACGATGAGGACGACAACATCGATGGTAAAACTAATGCGCTGCCGATACTTCGAGAATTCAGTTCAACCAGATCCACTCTCCAAAAAGAATATCGGGATTTGTTATTAACAGACTTTCGTTCTTAATTCTCCCCATGCCCAGGTTTAATCTAAATATACTACACATTGTCACTCGCCTAATTGTTACTTTAACGTAACGATAAATAATTTTCGAGCTCGGTATAACGGATAGGTCCGAGCCTCCTCTTCCCCACTTGCTTTGAGGAAAATATAATGTAATTACAGTCGGTTGAAAGCTCACACGAAACGAATTTACAGATAACTCCATTTCGAGCTATGAGAGATACTTGGGTGGCGGCCAAGTGCCTCACGGTCGTTTGAAATCGGACCCGGGAGTGGACGACAAAACGCAAAAGCAGAGCAGCCAGATAGCCAAGGAGCTGTCGGACCTGGTGATTTATCTGCAAGCGATTAAATTCCGCGGACTAAATACCGTTCCGGTCGTGCCGGGAAAAATACGTCATCAGTCGCACACGGGACCAGTTCAGAGGCACAGCATCGCCGGTATAGGACCCAGCAGCATAGCGTCCTCCTCAGGATCGCCGCAATCGCTCTCGACGTCCGCCTCGATCGCGAGCGGCGGCAGCAACATCGATAATATCTTTAGGTCAGTTTCCCATTCTAAAGTGCCTTCTCTGTTCATTTCTGTACTTGTAAACTGTTGGCATATTTCCTGTTATGTTTTCTTAGACCAACGGCACACGATACTATTGTTCCCCACTGGATTGCGCAGGAGAACCAATAATGTTGCAGAGTTGTAGATCAGGGGCTCGATTCTTGAATTCATTCGACGGGGAAACGTACGCGAAAATTCTGCTTTTACAGAAAAGTTGCAAGCTGATTGGCTACTCGCGTGGTTTTTAACCAATCGATTTTCGACTTTTCTGTGAGAGCAGGATTTTCGCGCACGTTCCTCTTTCGAATGCATTGAAGAATCGAGCCCCAGGTGACTAAAGGCTAAATCCTGATTGGTTCTCGCAAGCAATCTAGTAAGAAACATATAATAGTATCGTGTGCTGTTGGCTTAAGTTTACTCAGTCGTATATTTTCTTTTTTAAAACCATATTTTGGCCTTTTAAACCTCATAATCGGCATTGACCGGCGAATACCGATTTTGCAGATAAAAAACTATACTTAGTCGTGCGCATCTTTTTTGCTTCTGTGTTATTAGATCCACTCGCGGAATGCCGGCGTGCTTCCAATGCTCGTCCCTGAACGAGAACGCGGCGAAAAAGATCTGTCGAAAGCAGCCGTTAGGCGTGGTCGCCCATGCAGAGACTCAACTCATCCGAACGTATCCCGCGGGGATGCGCATTGATTCCACAAATTTCAATCCCGTAATATTTTGGGCTTTCGGAATCCAGATGGTTGCGTTAAACTATCAGACCGATGACGCGGGATTAAATCTCAACTCAGCCATGTTCGAGCAAAATGGTCATTGCGGATACGTTAGGAAGCCCTCGGTGATGTGGGACAAGGGACACATGATGTACAGGTGAATCACCTTATTATCATCGTATCCTATTATTTTTTACGAATTTTCTAAAATGATAGGCGACGACAATTTTATTAATGTAATATCTTGTACTCCTTGTAAAATCGATTAACTTGCGAGTCATAAACAGCAATTGTTAGACGATCCCTTTTGGTCTGCGTCACGTCAATAAGTTTATCTTTGCTGTAAGAGAATGTCTTCGTACTCGAAAGAAAGATAGTTAAATTATTTCTGACATTGTCTCGAAAAATCTTGTTGAGCAATCGTAAATGTTTTGACAGGCGGTTCAACCCTTGGGACAAAGAGTTCGACGGGCTGCATTCTGTGCACTTGAGCCTCTCAATAGTCTCAGGACAATACGTCTCGGTCACGAACTTCGTCACCAGCACCTACGTCGAGGTCGAGCTGGTCGGCATACCGATCGACTGCGCGAAGCACAAGACGAAGGTGATCCAGAACAATGCGCTGAATCCCATCTGGAACGAGAAGTTTTGCTTCCAAGTGATGTTCAAGGATCTCGCCTTCCTGCGCTTCGGTGTTATCGAGGCAAGCTCCCATCACGTGATCGCGCAACGCGTAATACCGCTCAAGTGTCTACGGCCCGGCTACCGACACGTACGATTACGATCCTGCAAGAACAAGCCGCTGGCACTTTCCACGCTCTTTATCTATTCCCGCTTGGAGGAGGAGAGCTTAGACTATAACACCTGCTGCCGCGATCACAAGGAGTCGTCCAAGCGTCTCTCGTCGAGCAAGGAGCCCGAGAAACTGAGCACCGTCGATCCCGGGTCTCTGGGTGGCGTCACCCTGAAAAGACGAATGTTCTTCTTGATGGTCTACCACGTGATACCGGACGAACCGTATACGATCCTAAAGGTGACCCAGGAGAGTACCACGCAAGAAGTGATGCTGCAGGCGTTGCAGAGGGCCGGGATATCGCCGGATCACGTAGACGAGTACATCCTGGTGGAGGAAGTGTCCCGTGGATGGGAGAAAAGAGATAAGGAAGAATTGCCGACTCAACGCGTGCTGGACCCAACAGAACACCCTCTTCAGGCGCAGGCTCTGTGGAAAGGACAGGGTCGCTTTCTGCTGAAGCGAGTAGGCGACGATCCGAGCAGTAGAGCGTGGCTCGCCTCCATCAGGAGCACGGCCGGCCACTCGAAGCTCGACTCCAACACGAGGGACCAATCCACCCACACATGGGACGAGGCGGACACCTTTCTGGTCTGCATCTATAACGTGTCACCGGAGATCCCTTATGCGATTCTACGCGTGCCGATAAGCAGCTCGGCGCAGGACGTGCTGGCGCAGGCTCTGATAAAGGCCAGGAGGATGGAGAACCCGACCAAGTTCGCTCTGGTCGAGGAGCTGGAATGGGGTGGCGCGGGCGCCGTTGGAAGCGGAAATCGTCAACTAAGAGTATTGAGCGACGACGAGAATGTTTACACCACGCAGGCCTTCTGGAAGACTCTCGGCAGGTTCATCCTCAGAGAAAGAGAACAGGCTATACCGAGACGGACCCTGTTGCCCGCCACCCTCGATCGAATCAGCAAGGGATTTTCCGTGGGCAGATCTGTATCCCTGCCAGGATCCAGCAAAGAAAAGGTGCCTGTTTCGGAAGCACTGTCGGACCCTACTTCTCGAGGCCTGAGACATCGGCTAATGATGTCGGGACGTAGACGAGAGGTTCACTCTGACGGGGAAGATACGCGCGAGTCCGATTTATTGAATGCTACTTTTTATCTGAAGAAGGTCTCGTTCAAAAAACTGATGAGCTGGAAGTCATAGTGGCAGTCAAGGGCGAACTCGATATCATCGATCTTCGCCGCTCGGAGAAGTCATCTGTAAGCCCCGTAGTTCAATTATCGTCATCAGAATTTAGATCTGATCTGCGAAACGTTTGTCCTGTGCCGACGATCCTGTCGAGGTGCGATCTCGAATCGAAACAAGAGCTTGAGAGGATCGAAAAAGGTTCCACTTTGTCGATAATTTACATAATACAAGTCACTCAGAGAAGCTAAAATCTGTAAGTCTTTATAGTCGAATGACAGACACACGGCACGAGCAGAACAATTAAATACCCGTACTAAAGAAGTATCAGACAGCGTGTTTTTATCATTGATCATGCGGTGACGTTGCGCGAGAAAAAAAATACGATCTTTGCAATGGGAGTAAGAGTTCGAGTCAGTTTCTTCGGGAAAGAACGGAATGATTGTTTCGATAAACGTGTCTGGAAAACAACGCGACATTCTTAAACTCGATTATCCCCGATGTTTGAGCGAAGTACGGAACGAGCGAAATTCGTAGCCGAAAGCAACTGTCGGCGAGTTGAAATCTCCAAAGAAGACCGGACGATATGGAGATTGTTACGGCGCCATTTTCAAAGATTTTTCAAGAGTTTTAAAACGTACATAGCATATCTGAAGTAATGACGTAGCACAATCATTAAGTGGCAAAGCGACGATTCTCGAATCCCTTTAAGTTCGCATAAAAAGCCAGGCATCAATACTGGATTTCGTTACGTGGCAGTAAATTACGGTCCGTAATCCGCGTTCGCCAAAGACGCGCTGGCGCGTCGAAGAGAGAGAGAGAGAAAAAAAAGAGATTAAACGCCACGCGTCGCGCCTGATTTTATTATTTTTGTACAACGAAGGGAGGAGGGAGATCACGCCGGGCGATCTCCAAACCTTTTGCCAAACGACGATTCTAAGTGATTCTAGATCCGCGACGCATTCGTAACGTTTAGACGTGTCGGAAGTGCTTCCCTATTCGAACGTGTTTCCGTTTTGAGACGTACACCAAGTATCCGTCTCCTGTCTAATCGACACAATCGCATACCGCATCCCCAAACAATTCCCGCAGCTTCACGTGACTTCTCGTCACTCGTAAGCGTCATCCTTATCATTTACGTCGTACCTGAGGTTTTTCCATTGATACGAGAGTCACGCTTCCGGGCGGGGGCTCTGTAATAAAGTTATATATCGCTGTTATCGTTTGTTCGCTCTATTAATGTTAAATAATTTCTTTCTGCGTCTAGTCGACCATGTGATAAGGAATTCGAGTCCATAGAATCCAATGAAGAGCATCGTAATGTATATTGGGAGTTGCTACTTAAAGATCGTATTTACTATATATTGTTAACACTAGAGGGTAGATCGGTGTTGCATTTTCGATTACCGTCCCTCTCTCCTGACTGTTTTAGCGAGCGTATGTATACGTAGATTGTAAATACGAGGCCAAGGAGCGTCGAGTGGAGAACCGCGTCCGAATGTGCTATCGCTCTATTCAATTTATTTTTTCACGCGACACAAGGCGTTCGCGCGTCGACGAGCCCCGTCGTCGTACACCCGAAGCCGGCAGCCTAATTTTACGGGAGATAATTTCGCTAATAATGTTAATTGAATTAACTAACGAGGAACAATATCGAACCTGACGTCGTAAGCCAGTGAGGTCGCGAGATAGCCTTGCCCCCGTCTTCCACGTCCCCGAGTCGTTACTAGATATTTTATATTTTTTCGAGACAGCCCCGCGCAGACTGACGTTTTAGGCAAAGTCGTACAATTGTACGACACGAAAATGCCGAGATTTTTTAATGTTATGGAAAAAATATATATATACACGAGATATATATATATATATATATATACGCTAGTCATATCCTTCCCCGAGATCGCGCTTCGCGACGTCACTGGAGACTCTGTATATTTTTGGATACCACTTCCTTCCTTGTCCTCCATCTCTCCGAAAATACGTAATCACACGGGAAGAAAGCTGTAGCTGCCGTAGTTGAAAACCGCATGTAGCAACTAAATTTCAGTGGAAAAATATGGACGAATAATTAATTGTGATAGCTAAATATTTCGCTATTGTGCCTATTGTATTAGGTGCGACGGCAAACCGTTTGCTGTGGTTTAGAAATGTATAGTTATGGCAAGAAAATATCTTTAGTAGCCCATGACTGGCTACGGTAGCGAAAAGTTTTCTTTCAATGCACATATCCGTATTAGAGACCAAACGGGCGTGACACACGAACGGAATAAGAAACAGAACACACACAGCCCAATTACATTCGTACACATATCCCCGAGTAAGTAAAATGAGAATAAAATAATAACAGTCACACACAGATGCGATAGAATAATTTCTGTCGACGAAAAGAGGCGTAGATCAGCTCGAAAGCAGTTGTGCTGTCTGCCAGTCGTGAGAGGAAAAATACAAATCTGATTGATTCAATTTGTAGATCAGATCACTTAAAGAGAAACAAGATCTAAACCAACTGTGCTTGCAATACCGTTAAATCACAATCTAATTTGCGATCGCTATATGTATATAGCGATATATATTGTATATCTACTAACGCATTTGACAATATTGCGAGCGGTAAGGTGACCGTACACGTTTCATTCCTTCGGATATATATTTGCTTACTAGGTTTTTGCGTTTATGAAAGTAACTTTCAATCCACATTGCACTTTCTCTTTTCCGTTAGAACTTCTTCTTTTCTTCTAAGTAAAATCTGTACCTCTATCTCCTTTTTACCTTCTTTTTCTACCTTCCGATCACTTTACATACGTGAGTAGCCGCGATGCATTGAAATATGTCGAAAGTCCCTTAGGAAAATTTATTTTTAATAAAATTAAAGTTTTTAAAAGTAATCTTTCAAATTTAAGAGTTTACTTAAACAAGTTAAAAGTTTACTTGAGAAATTTTAGGGTAATTTTGGACACTTGAAGTAATTTTTAGATAGCCAAGCCTGTCGAAGTTCCCGCTAGAGGGCCGCGCGGCACAGCACTTTCTCGTGAGAAGAAAACCGCACGCGTTATTTTCAATTGTATCACATACTTTTCACAATTCTTAAAGTTTTCGTTAAAATTCCTAAGGTAAGTTTGAAGTTTACCTTAAACAAAAGTTTCAAAGTGTCCAATTGTACTTCTCACATTTCTTCTTTTTCTAAAGTAAAATTTTAGGGTTTTCTAAGGTATATTTTTCCAAGCCGGTGTTAACACCGGAAGGCTAATAAATCGTTAAGTGCGCGCAACACAACTTGACAAGCGCAACAAGCATACTCTCATCAACGCGTGTACTAAATGACACGCGAGATCAAAGTACATTTTGGTACGCAACAACAGTATTTTACCTAATGTGTAGCAGCATCCTCGAGGAACATTATGTACATAGCAGTAACGAACAATGGCTACTAATAACGTTAATTAATTACTATAATTAATATTCGACGCTCCTTGGACCTCCGACTAAACCCCCGTATCAAGAGAATCATCGATTGTAAAAGGACAGTGTCCATATCAAGCGTTGCATCACGATTGCAACGGTTGTAACCATTCGTTGCTGTGCCGCCACCGGATATCGCAATGAGTTCCATGCGATTGCCAAATACGCCTCCCCGAAGACGTCGTCGGCAGGCAACATTGTTCCCCGTAAAATCACCGATTCCCAGTAAAATGAAATGACGAGAATTCATTCCATTATGTGATTTTGACTTCAGCTCGACACGCGCAAATCTCGTTTCGTTACGAATTGTTATGTAAGTTGCGACGATCGTTGCATGCACGGAAAAGAAATGTTAGCTGCCGTAGCTGCAGAACTGCGCGTGGTAACTAAATATCAGTTGTTAAATATGGACAGCTAATATTTAGTTGCGATAACTAATATTTTGCTACCGTGCCTATGGTGTTAGGTGCGACAGCAAACCGTTTGCTGTGGTTTAGAAATTTATGGTAGCAAAATATTTTTAGCAACTCATGATTGGATACGGTAGCGAAGATGTTTTTTCCGTGCGCAAGAGTAGATTATCTCTACTTCACTAAACTCAAGAGAACGGCAGTTAAAATAACAGTACGCTATTCATTTATATTTAGTCCAATCCTTTCGTTAATAGACGTAATCAGCGCGTCATAAAATATTTATTATCTATTATCGTGTATTCTTTTAGCTCCGGATAGAATTTATTTCGAAATGGTAAAAAAAACTATTTTACTTTTTCTCGCGTAAGATGAAGCAAAAACTAAAGGCTTATCGATGCACTGAACAATATTGTTTCACTGACAACACGTTCGACGACTTACGGGGTGTTACAGCATACAGGTCAGAATGCTAGGTTGCCTATTCACGCAGGCGCGCATAGTCGTTCATAACTGCATTATGAATTCGGCGTAAAAAAAAGTGTCGCTACTCTTGCGACCCAATGCGCCGAATTCATAAAGCAGTTTTGTGGACGACCACGCGCACCTACACGAGTAAGAAACCCGTCATACTGAACTGTACGTTGTCACACCCTGTACATGTTGGACGATATTTCAGTCCTTCGTCCGTCATCCGCCTCCCTCGAAGGCTGACTTGACAGGACTCGGTGGGCGTATTTAAAGCATGATATATTAAGAGCGGCGCGCACACGCGAAGCGATTACTTCTTAATATTTTTGGGACCACTCTGATTAAGGACACTATCGACCGAGCTCCCAGGGGCCGATCCTAAATGTAAACGGTACCAGTATTAAGGCTCCTCGCTCTCTTCGTCGGCCGAGAGCGCGGACCGCACGAAGAGAGCAGGAGACAGGAAGAAGCGCAAAGAACGAGAGTTGGGCAGGATGGTAGAGACCGAACGGAAGATTAATCCTCGAAGATATCGAGCAAAAGGCCGAATGAACGGATGCTGAAGCTCACTTGAAACAATCTGCAATTCGCGACAATGTTCAGAGTAGAATTCTATTTATAGTCTGACTCCCCTCGCGTAGAATACAAAAATATTTGAGGAAACAGAACATACATGAATGCAAAATATAAATTAAAATACACAAGTATAGTTGAAATGTACGGCATGAAAAAGTATAAAGAGAATTCTATTCCAGAATCCAACGCGGATTATATCGTCTAAAATGAGCCTGACGCATCGGCCGGGCATATCCCTAATTGTGTACATATCCGTGATTCTTCGGTAGCTGTTACATTATAAAAGAAAACGCGCGTAATACATATATAAATGATCGTATATACGTACATATGCGTTATTCTCGAAGGGCCGTCGAGCGGCATTTTTGCGTGCGTTGACAAGTTTCAGAGTCAAAGAAAGAAAGACAAATGGAAGAATTATCCTTAACCGTGACGAAAAAATTGCGATAGTTAGTAAGATGGAACGATTTAAAAGAAAGAGAGAGAGAGAGAGAGGGGGGAAGAGAGATAGAGATGAATTGATTAATTAACATTTATAATTGATTAATTAAGAGACGTACATAATATTGTCGCCGTGCGCAATCGGGCTGGCACCGGCTTCGCACGGTGTATCGATCTCTGATCAAATCTGATCGACGCAACGTCTCGTTTTGCGTAATTATGAACTTTATCACATACGTAACGCATTTATCTTGCAAGCGGTCGCTGCCCGCGACAGCTTTCCCCGGCTCATCATCAGCAAGTATCGCTATGACCGTCGGAAGAAAATTATATACGCAAGTTAACGAACTATGCAGCAACTAGTTAAATCGCCGAATAATAATAATGACTATATTATAGTTATCAGAGAGAAGGGAACCAGGTTAATCGTAATCGTTTCTTGCCTACTTCTCTAAAA